CTGAAATTCGGAAGGGAAGGGGTACGTGATTATTAACATTTTCTTTTTTTTATCTGTTTGTTTATTTATCTATTCATTTATTTAATTATTATCTATGTATTTATTTATTTATTTATTTTTGCTGTGTGTTTTTGGTTTTATTTGTTTTGTATTGTTTATTTGTGAGGTGTTTATTGTTTTCGCTGTGTGTTTCGTTTGTGTTCTTCATTTGTTTTTGTTTAGTGTTTATTGTGTTATCTATATATTTGTCATTATTTTATTTGTTTTATATATGTGTAATGTTCATTGTTCTCTCTATGTGTTTGGCCTTAAATTTTATTCACATTCCAATCAGTTTTAAGTTACGGAATTAGCTTTCTCTCTTGCATAGTTACCATCACGGCTGAATTCAATATATCAAATTCCCCCTAAGAATGAAGAGCTTATATAATACTTAACATGTTTCTGAAAACTATTTCCTAAGACAAAACTCCGGGAAAACTTTTTCTTAAAAAGTTCTCAAGAAAAAACTCATTATATTTACGTAATATAGATATAAACATATCATCGTCAAGCATATACAAAATAACGATAAATTTATTACCATACAGAGTACCATATAAATTATACCCTGTGAATAAAACGAACTAAATAAAAAAAATACTTAAACCACACGTTTCATTTTCCATTTGGCTCATATTACACATCCCAAAAATACAGTACAAACAATTATACACAACATCTAGCCTAAATCCCTTACCATACAAAAATACAATACAAAATACAACCAGCAAATCAAACAAAAGCCAATCTAACAATAATTCGAATACCGCATTTTTCATTTTCATTTTCTTTCATTTCAATTTCATTTTCTTTCGTTACACATACCGGAAAACACAGCATAAGTGTAGCGTACTTTCCGTGTCCCCATTTCGTCGAACAATACCATAACATTCGGAAATGTACAGCAGGGAAACAAACGACACTTTAATTACAATTGGGTAGACAGTAATGCAGTTAATTAAGGACTAACGGTCATTTGAGTTAATAGGGAAACATGATTATGGCGGTTCTTAAATCACTGCGTAATTAAGGTTAATTTAGGGAGGCGTAATGATGAACGGTGTTATCTGAGGATTGGAAGAATGAGAATTATGGTGGTGGTGGTATTAGTGATCTCTATAGCAAGTATGCTTAAGGGTGATAATGATGATGGGACTAACAATATAATTTCAAGGTAATGATAATTGATGGTAATTATGATAATGATTATTAGAAAGATAGTAACATTACTTCGTGCTACTGCTAATACTAATACTAAAACAACAACAACAATAATGATAATGATAATAGGAATAATAATAATAATACCAATAATGATAATAATAATAATAATAGTAATGATAATAATACCAATGATAATAATAATGATGGTGATAATAATGATAATAATAATAATAATAATAATAATAATAATAATAATATTAATAATAATAATAATAACAATAATGATAATAATAATGATGATAATAATAATAATAATAATAATAATAATAATAATAATGATAATAACAATAATAATAATGATGATAATGATAATAATAATAACAACAACAATAACAACTAGTAACAACAACAACAATAATAATAATAATGATGATGATAATGATACTTCTACTTCTACTACTATTACTACAACTACTACTGTTACTACTACTACTAATAATAATAATAACAATGATAATAATGGCAATAACAATAATAATTACAAACAATTTCAGTGAAACAAACTATACCGATTTAATACACTCATCAATATCCCAATGCAACAACGCAATTTCAGTAATAAGCCGTTACGTCACTTTTACTGTTCAAGGTTCAAATTTACAGCACATTAACAGTAGAAAATGGTTCATTATTTTTCCTTATCTTTCCTTACCATTTGTTCTATATTGTAGTAATTTTCTCTCTATTTTTGTATTTTTTTTATTGTCGATGTTATACTGGTTATCAGTTCTTTAACCCATTCGCGCCGGGTAAAAATTAACAAAAAATGGGGGAAATGCTGTGCTCAATTTTTATAGTTTTTAATGAAATTTCTCTACACTAGATGGCTCTGCTTTACCTGATTTCATTTGGCGGGAAAATGTATTTTTACTAGTGCTATGAATATCGATGGTTATTTTTATTATAAACATTATAATTACTATAATGTTATAAACATTAGTAACAACAAAATAAGATAACGCAAAATAATTTCGTAAATTAAAGAAAAGGGTAAACAGACGAGACAGGCAGTACAATTGCAAGTGGAGCCATCTATGTTTGTAAACAATCAAACAAGTAAACTCAAAGTGGGCCCGTCACGTATACGTGACGCCCGGCGCGAATGGGTTAAAGTCATTACCTGGCAGTTGATAGCATCACGACCATAATTTAGTTAAAATTGTTGTCATTATCATTTATATATCAATATTATTGTCATTCTCACGTTATTGTGACTATATTTCCCCCTCCCTTTTTATATTATCAGTATAATCTTCCCTCCTAATTCTTCTAGTTCTTAGATTTTTTCTTTCTTATTTTGCGTTCGGTCCTTCGAATCTTCATATATAAAGCTGAAACACGCAGACACATCCTGGAGCATTCGGTACTGACAAATCTCTAATAAAACCCGAAATAATTCAAACCGAATGTTCTGCAATCGTGGGTTATATTGCATTGTGATGTTGCTTTATTTGTTGCGTTGTCCATGGATCAGGAATGAATTGATTAGATTTCGGAGATGATTCGAATCCGTGTTCGGATCACCACCGGCGAAATTAAAGGAATTATAGAAAATGGGTGAAAATAAAGAAAATGGGTTTTCTAGCAACAGAATATTCGTTTTCTTTTTTTAAATTATATGGTAGACTTACACTATGCACATATATTAGAGGAGATAGCCCTTTGTGGAGGTTTTCTCTCTAGTTATTCTATTCCATTTCTATTTTTACAAGCCCAAGCAGTCGCACCGTATAATTTTTCTCTCCTTTTGGTCAGTTTCTTATTCAAAATGAAAATTTGATCTCTATATTTGCTTTTGATATCTACAACCGTTGAGCTTTTCGGCAAAGCGCTATAATCATTCCTGATGAAGTTAATTATCATATTCATGAGTGATATTTCAGTGACAGAGAGTCGCTGAATAAACAAAAACATCAAAGGCCTACAGATGTCCATTTAGCAAGCGCATTAACATTATCTGACAGTATAGATGCGATACAAACAGTTGACGCAAAATATATGTGAAATCCTGTTCATTCGACGACCACAAAATATACCGGATCGACTTAATTACCTCAGGAATGAGCAGGAAATGTGGAGCATCAGCTGAATTATCTATGCATTAACAGGTCTAGGGATTATCTACGTGTAACTTAAGGCCTGTAGGATTTCTGATATTAGGAATGCAACAAGATTTATAGAACTGGATTTGTGGAGGAAAGGAGGCATGGTGTTAAAATCACACAATGATAGTGACACTGATAGACTGAGAATAACCTATCATTAAATCCCTTTTATAAAATCTTTAAGCTAAATCATTCGGTTTGGAACAATTCTGCCATAAAACTGATAGTGATAACGTTGCTTAGGATGAGGATGATAATCAAGATGATGAAGATTGAATGAATAAGAGTAGTGAAGACGATGAATGAGGATAATGATAATGATGAGAGACAATAATGATAACGAAGATGATGAAACCATAAACAGAGAGAAACACTTAAATTTCACTTTATTGTCCTCATTATCATTGTTTTTTTGTTTTTTTTCTCTCTCTCTCTCTCTCCTTCTTTTTGAATTATGAAAGAAAGACGAGAAATAGATCATCTAATAGGCACAGACACCGCACAAGGGGTAAATATCAGTTAAATGTCACGCACGTATAGGCGCCTCAAATAATTAATGAAATAGAGTTTTCATGAGATAATCAATAAAATGTAAATCTTAGGCCATGAGACATTTAAGCATGACATTTCATTTCTTTTGGCCAAGTGGATGTTTTTTATCCTAATTTGATATATTTGTGCTATAACAATAACAACAACAACAATAATAAGTGTTAGTAGTAGTACTAGTGGTAGTACTAGTAGTAGTAGTTGTTGTTGTTGTTACTGTTATACTACTTCTATTGATTGTCATCATGTGTGTGTGTGTGTGTGTGTGTGTGTGTGTGTGTGTGTGTGTGTGTGTGTGTGTGTGTGTGTGTGTGTGTGTGTGTGTGTGTGTGCGTGTGTGTGTGCGCGCGCGCGTGTGTGTGTGTGTGTGTGTGTGTGTGTGTGTGTGTGTGTGTGACCACTCACTGTCTATCTATGTCTTCCCTATAGTTATTGGATCTAGATAAGCTTCTATCCCCCCCCCACCCCACTCCACACACACACGCACGCACGTACCACCCTGTTTTCCTCCGCAGAGTCCAACCACCCCGTTGACTTTCCGGGTAATTTCATCCGGAATTGATGGCGCCGAATGTCCAGGTTGCTGATATTGATAATCCTGTGCGCATGTATCGTTCAAAGGAACATGTCCCGGTCGGCTAATAGACTTGTGTCTTGCTGCAGTTTGCTTGGAAATATGGTGTTGCTTGGGAATTGGGAAGGTGAGGCTTGCTTTTGGCTTGATGTACGGTGAAGGGAAAGGGAAGTTTTGATTTTATCTAGGGATGTGGAGAAGGAAGTTTTGACTTGATTTTGGGAAATGGAGAAGGAAGTTTTGACTTGATTTAGGGAAATGGAGAAGGAAATTTTGACTTGATTTAGGGAAATGGGGAAGGAAGTTTTGACTAGATTTAGGGAAATAGAGAAGGAAGTTTTGACTTGATTTAGGGAAATGGAGAAGGAAGTTTTGACTTGATTTAGGGAAATGGGGAAGGAAGTTTTGACTAGATTTAGGGAAATGGAGAAGGAAGTTTTGACTTGATTTAGGGAAATGGGAAGGAAATTTTGACTTGATTTAGGGAAATGGAGAGGGAAATTTTG